GAAATATGCAACTGATTAGAAATGCAGCTGGATTGAGCATTACGTATAGTCGGTAAAGGACCTTTAACGTCGTTCTCCCTCGAGTATAAAACAGGTAACCAGAGCTTGTTTGAGTGTGCTGTATCGTTTACAAAGCAGGAGCTGAGGTAGACTCGCCATTACGCCGTTTTCGAAGACTATATGAGCAGCTGTCGCAATTTTAGAGGGGGAGAATAATCGGCATGATGGAAGCTGGGTGGTCAGCTAGACGAGTAGCTCGTCATTTAGGCCGCTCTGATTGTGTTGTGATGAGGTGTCGTGATCAGTGGATGCGAGAGGGTCATTTACACGAAGACCAGGCTCAGGACGCCCTCGACAGACCAGTTGCCGAGAAAACCGTCACATCGTAAAAAATACACTTGTACAGCCAACTGCTTCATCGACCGTCATCCAGGCACAGATACCACCTTCACTAGGGAGCCCTGTGTCTTTTCGAACCATACGAAAGCGCCAGGCTGAAGGACATTTGTTATCGCGGAGCCCATTATGTGTGTTGCCCTTGATGCCCACCCATCGACGCCTCCGTTTGGAGTGGTGCTGCATACGAGGAAACTGGACTGCAGTGGACTTGAACCAGGTCATTTTAGCGATGAATCCTGATTCAAAATCTCAGCAGTGAGGGCAATCGTGTTCGTGTGTGGAGACCACGTGAAGATATGTAATGATTAGAAATACAGCGTAATTGCGCATTACATATAGCCTGTAGAGGGCGTTAAACGTTGCTCTCCATGGAGTATAAAACAGGTAACCAAATCATGTTTGAGTGTGCTGAATCGCTTAAAAAGCAAGAGCTGAGGTAGACCTGTCATTACAGCGTTTTCGAAGACAATATGAGCAGCTGATCGAGAATCATTGGCATGATGGAAGCTGGGTGGTCAACTAAGCGAGTAGCTCGTCACTTAAGCCACTCTGATTGTGTTGTGAGGAGGTGTTGGGAGGGGCCCTGTGTCTTTTCGAACCATACGAAAGCACTTGGCAGAAGAACATTTGGGATCGCAGCGCCCATTACGTGTGCTGCCCTTGACGCCCAACAATCGACGCCTCCGTTTGGAGTGATGCAGCCCACGAGGAAACTGGACTGCAGCGGAATGCAACCAGGTCGTCTTTAGCGACGAATCCAGATTCAATCTCAGCAGTGATGACAGTCGTTTTAGTGTGTAGAGACCCCGTGGTGAATGCCTCAATCTTGCCTTTGTTTTACAGCAGCACACCGCTTCCACAGCTGGTGTGATGGTATATATAAGGTTCCACTGTCTACAATACACGGCCATCCCTAGTATTGATTCGTGTCACCTTCACAGCCCAGTGGTATGTCCGTGATATCCAGCAACCACATGTGTTGCCACTCATGCAACGGCTCCCAAGAGCTATTTTTCAACAAGGTAATGTTCGGCCTCGCACGGCAAGAGTGTCACCAGACTGTGTCTGCACTGTCATTACCTTTTTGGGCCTGCCCGTTCCCCAGATTTGTCTACAATTGAGTATATCTGAGATCATTTGGGACGGCGATTTGGGTATCCCACGAGTTTAAATGAACTAGATGCCAGGTTATAGCAAATATGGAAAGATCTAGAACGAAATGTCTCAAGACATCATACATAGCTTGTATGCCTCAATGCCCAAACGTAACGCATCGTGCATTCGCGCTAGAGGGGGTTAAACAGGGTATGAAATCCTCCATTCTTCTGCCTTTTCTCTGAAATAAAAGATCTTTTTTTATTTGGTTTTCTAATCATTTACTTATATCAAAGGAGGTATTACGCATGTAAAATTTCGTTTCATTTTGACGTCTTCTTGGTGCGCTAATTTTTTTAAACATCAGTGTATTTTGAGTTCACAAATTAGTTTAACGCCTGAATATCCATATATGCCCCAATAATCTATATATATGCCCCAACTCATACTCTTTGATATTGGGATTTTACGTACCAATAGAGAGAGAGACAGAGAGAGAGATTTCGCACTAACATCTTAGTTTTTTAAACCTTAATATATGTGTTGCATGAAACCTTATAATTTATGTTGTTTATTTTTAGTTTTTATAAATACTCTTACAAAATTCATACTATATGAACAATTTAAATTTTTTATTTATGTTTATGATAAATCATATTTTAATTTTTTAACAAATATTCTTAAAAGAAACATATTTATGTGCAGAATTTTAATTTTGATTTATGTTGAATGAACAGTTATATTTTATGTTGTTTATATTTATGTTAATAAATATATTTAAAAATGATGTATGTATAATTAGTACATATTACAACTTTAAATTTAATCTCTTTCCTACCTTGACCTCTATTACTCATCTTTCCATGCATTGCTGTGGGAATCGAATTGGTTTAAATAATTTTTATTGTACAGCATGCTAATTCATATTGGTTGATTGGATTGCCGGCCTCTGTTCAAGAATTCGAAAAAAATTTTTTTTTAATAAATTAGACAGTGGGCCACAAAAGTGTTCGTACACTTGCAATTTCTTATAAAATTTAATGTTTTCGACTAATAAAAATTAGTATATTGTAATTGTAATTGTTTTATGATATCTACAACTTGATCTTAATGGAATGACATAATAATTTTTTAAAAATGGTATAAACATTTTTTAAAAAAAAATTACTTATCTAAAAGCTACTAAAAATTACGCCACAAAATTCTTCATACACTTAACAAAAATCTCAACTTAACTTTAAATATTGTATTTCTTTCTTTATTTAGTACTTAGTAGGATATCTTTTAGTGTCCACAACCTTTTTTAAGCGTCTTGGTATAGATTTAATCAGTTTTTGTGATTTCTGCATTGGTTTCCCACCATTCTTCTGTGATTATTCTTTTAAATTCACATTATGCGTTGATATGTCGTGTTTTCTTTTTTTTTTACAACAAAACTTCAACAAATATGCTCGACTGGACTAAATAAAGTGATTGAGGAGGTGTTTTCATAATTTGGAGACAGTTATAGAGACACCAGTGAGTACATTGAGAGCAGTGCGCTTGGTGTCATTATCCGTTAAAAAATGAAATGCTTTTCAATATACAAATTTTGGGCGGAAAATTTTAAAATTTATCTTTAAAATATTTAATTAGAGCTGGTGATTCATAATATCAACAAAAAATACCAAATTAAATAATTCTGTGGCCGATTTACACCCCCAAGCATGAACTCTTCTACCTCCCTGTTTTATTGATCCAACTAGATTCTTGGGACTAAGTTTCAGAAAATTCAAAATTGACAGAAAATTGATAGAGATGGCAGAAAATTCACCATTTTTGGTTCCGATGGGCCTATAGCTTGTAAATGAAAAATAAGGAGTTATATAAGTACCATGAATTTATGTGGAACAAGAACTCCTTCATTCCTATGCTGAAGTATGAAAGTGAAGGTGTTCTGGTGCGGGGGTGCAAATGTGCCTCAGAATTAGGTAATTTGGTATTTTTTCATGGTATTATGAATCATGAGCTTTATTTAATCCTTTTAAAGAGAAATTTTAAATTATCCACCCGAAATTTGGATATTGGAGACTACTTAATTTTTTAACAGGGTAAAGACGCCAAGTGCACTGCTCTCATTGTACGCCACTGGGGTCTCTATAACTGTTCCCAAATTCTGAAAACACATCTCAATCACTTTATTTAGCCCAGTAGAACATATTTTGGGAGAATTTGATTTTAAAAAAAGAAGATAAATTATGACATATAAAGACATAATATGAAGTAAAAACTAATCATGGAGGAAAATCGATGCAGAAATTACGAAAAATTGATTAAATCTATACCAAGACACTTAAAAGTTGTTGTGGTCACTAAAAGATATCCTACTAAGTACTAAATTAAAAAAGAAATACAATATTTAAATCTAAGTTGAGATTTTTGTTAAGTGTACGAATACTTTTGTGGCGTAATTTTTAGTAGCTTTTTGATAATTATTTTTTTAAAAAGAATAGTTATACTATTTTTTTAAAAAAATAATTATGTCATTTTATTAAGAATAAGTTGCAGATATCATAAAAAAATTACAGTTACAATATATTAATTTTTATTAGCCGAAAACATTAAATTTTAATGGAAATTGCAAGTGTATGAACACTTTGTGGCTCACTGTATATGAATAATGCCTACTTATAATGAGAGACACGAGGAATAATTCGGAATACAGAAATATTGAGAGCAACAATACTGCAAAAAAGTTTCACCCCCAACCAGTACTTCCTTTTCTTCTCGAACAATGTATGATACTCTCAGAAAAAAATGGGAATTCCTGAAAATTATCTTGCTTATGATAATACAGCGATAAATATGTGACGAAGAAAAAATATCAAACGTTGCAGAATATTTTATTGTGTCTGGTGCAATATTTTGTTTGAAAGCATATCATAATTTTTTTTTTTTTGGAATATAGAAACATAAAGGCAATGAGAACAGATGAAAGCTATTATTTTTCTTTTACATATATATAATTGCTTTTTCACATATTTTTAAAAACAACTAAAAAATTTTCGGAAGTAATAATTTGCCCGCTTTAATAAATGACAGCAAAATATTAATGTTAAAAAATGTACATCACTTCTATTTTATCTAAAAATACACTGTAAAATTAACTTTTTTCGAGGGAAAGTATAAAATTTTAGAAATTTTAATACTACTCTTAGTGTTTATTAGTATGTGTGTTGAAATAAAAGAGAAAAATATTTTACAGGAGTGTCTTGACCTAATGAATTCAATGGAAGGAAAAGGTAGTACCTATAAGAAAAAAAAAGAGTTAAACAGTAAATTCAAAATTTAGTAATGCGTTCATCTTAATGCTGTTAAGTATCTATAACAGTGTCAACTAGTATTGAAATCTTGAGTTTGGCACACAAAAAAGCATTTGTTGCATATTTATTTATCAGCTCTGCTGAGCAAATACTGTGGTTCTATATTTTCATTCATTTCCTTATTTTCTTAGGATTTTTGGAATTGGCTTGGTGTTCTAGGGGTATGATTCTCGCTTTGTGTGTGAGAAGTTCCGGGTTCGAATCCCGGTCGGGACCATCATTTTTGATCCCATCACATTTATCAAATTATTTAATATATATCAATTTAAAACAGGTAATGATGTTTTTCACTAATATTTTGTAGTACATATAAAACTTCCGAATTTTCTGTCAATTAAATAGTTCCATAATCAAACCTCATTTGGGAGAATGATTTGTGGTTGTGTTGCTGTAGCTAATGCCACCTCTCTGACGTAGTTAGAACGAGGCCCATGAAGTTCATCGTGGCAAGGAGCTAGAGAAACGCCTGTCGTTGGCCTAGCCCTTGATCACCATACAGGTTACAGTGTGAATTAGCTCGGCGAAATTCCCCAAAATGATGATTGATGACGACACCACCTATCTCCATCTCCACGATTTTGGCATGGAGCTGAAGGGGAGGAAATATTCTCCAGTCCTCTGCACTCGTGTGATTCAGCCTACAAGACTTTCGGACCCACTGATTTAGCGAGCACGTACTCCGTGTGTATTATGAGAGTATATGGTGGCATCGGGCATGCGAACCCAGGCCTTGGAGTCTGTTGCCCTAACCCAGTGTTTCTCAAAGTGTGGGGCGCGCCCCCCTGGGGGGGCGCGATGACCCACGCGAGCGTATCGAAAATTTAAAGATTTTTTTAAAAAAATAACCGGAAAAAGAGAAGTAAAACAAAATGCTTTCTTCCATGATAAAAAAATACACACAACAACACTGACATAATTTATGTTTATTATCTGGCTTTTTTCCGTCATCAAATAGCTATCTTTGATCCCAAAACCAAATTAAAGAAAAAAAAACATTTTGTTTTATTTGCTGTATTTCCTCAATGAGAGATTTTTTTTTTATTACGTTTTAACATAAAAATATTACTCGTTAAAAGAAAAAAAACGAAACCCAGACCCTGAGAAAAATTCTAAGAAGATAAACAATTCACCACTGTAATTATTATTGAAATACACTGTACATTAGTTGTAGAAAAAGAAAAAGGAAGTCATGATTCACTTTTCAGCCAGGCTGCATAGTACGTTTGCTAATCATTTGATTGACCTTCAATCTTATGGTATGGTTATTATCAATATTAGTTCCCTCCCATCTTTTATGCGTTTGCTTTTCGCTTAGGGAAATTGTAAATAATGAGTTTGCGATATTTGGAAAGAATTGATTGGTTTAACATTTCTGTAGGATAATTGAAAAGCTTCTGATTTGCGTCCTTTATTATGGTCTTGTACTTTTGAATCATTTTAGTTCAGTTTTATTGGATTTTTCTCAAATCATCAACGAATTGAATAGTCCTTGAAAGAAGGTAAGTATACTTTCTATAAATTAAAATATTCACTAGAATTCCGATTTGTATCGTGTACAGTAAAAGTAATTCTAAACAAATGATTGGGGTGACTGAGTCCCCCGAACTACCATTAATGTTAGTATCGAGTACGCCCTGCTCCCGGGTTAAAACATTTTGAAGTCTTCTCGCTTTAAAAGTTAAAAAGTAACATAATTATTCTTCATCGGAATTTTATATTTTTTTCATAATTTAACATTAATTCTAAATGCTAATTGTGTGAGGTTTAAAATTACAGTTCTTTTAAACAGTTATTTACAATTATAGCATTTATCTATTTAAAAAATCATTTTACATTTTTGTATACAATGTCGTGTGCACACAGTTTTACTCTCCTTACAGTTCAGCTATTATATCAAGAATAATGTTTTATTTTTAAAAAATGAACTCGTGCGACGGTGTTTTAGCCAGTATACGTTTGATGTATCAGTACTGAAGAAGGTATTTTATAAATAATTTCTTATTACTGAATTTGGCCGCGTAGCCGAGTGGTATAGGTATCGGATCGTGGCTTGCCTTGTCACGAGTTCGAGCCCAGTACCACTAAAGACCCGCCGTGTAGGGCAGCGATGCACGTTAAATCTGTTAAGAGTTGAAACGTTTTCCCGTTGGTGTGGTGTGGTAGTTAGGAGAGAGGGGTGCCAGCTCAGGTGTCATCCACGTCACTTGACCATGGTTCAAAATTACGTGGTCCGTCGTCAAAAGCCCTCGTGCAGCTGAACAGTGCGACGTTAATATTCAATCAATCAATTAATCTTATTACTAAATTAAGAACAAGTTTAATAATAATTAGGGACTTCCACGGGCTTGTCTTGTAGAGGAAAGTTTTCAAAGGAAGGTTTAATAACAGAAATTGACACTTAAAGAGTTATTTTTCTATATTTAGCTGAGATCTATATTTTGTCTTCAAGGCATCCACTGCAGAAAATCCGGTTTGAAAAAGGTAGGATGTTGAAAATGGTAATAGTATACGAAGTGATTTTTGTTTTCAGTACAGATAATTCCTCATTCACCTCTACCCCAAATTCAAAGAGCGATTTATTACAAAATTGCCTTTTAATTTTCACTGGATGCGAAATCTATGAAGATATCTTCTTCGGAAGTTGAGAGCCCTTCTGGAATATCTTGAAATAGATCCCTAATCCACTCGTAACTTGCTACCAAGCTGTCCTCATCCAGAAAATATTTAAAATTCTTTGCCAACATAGCTAAATGATTTTACATGTTTTAAAAACAACTTTCACACGTTGTTCTACAGATTTGTAAGTTTTAACACATATCGAGCTGGGGCTTTTTTTTCCATCATTTTCTTCAAAGGTGGTAAATCCAAAATTTTAGTATTTTTGAGAAGATCGCCTTGATTTAATTTTCGGAACCATGCTCGTTCGTCTGTGTACTTGTTGATTATTATGGTCGAATGTTTACTTACAACTTAAAAATGTATGTATGATATTGTTTTAATCTACTGCCGTAAATAATTACCGTGAATTACAATTAACGTGGAAATTTAAAAAATGTACATTCAAGCTAGATTCGGTAGCTATAGGAGTATCGGGTCGACCAAAACTGACTGGAATTGTACGAGGAAAAGCATTTTTACATGTTTTGCGCAGACATCCGATAGGTTGCCCAGACTCACGCAAACGTACCCTATAATGCCAGATGTGATGGATATGATAGAGAGCGACATTGACTAGTCTATTTTTCTAATGACATTTGTACTTTGAGAAATGAATGCTGAAGGAAATAAATCTTTAAATACATCATTTTGCGATCTGTTCCGATTTAAAAATTAGAGAAAGAAAAATAACACAATTCTAAGTAATATATATATATTTTAAGTAATTTTCTTAAAATATATATATATATATATATTACTTAAAAGTTACATATACACAAAATTTAATATACTTATCGTATTAATTTGTACGGTTTATAATTAAGATCGTATTGTAACTTTAGCGTCTCTCTCTCAAAGTGCATTTTTATTGCAGTAAATACATTATTGTTGTACAGGGGGGCGAGACAAAAATTATGATTGAAAATTGGGTCGCCAGTATTGAAAGTTTGAGAAACACTGCTTTTAATGTATGAGTGGTGCACAGAGTATTTTATGACTAATTAATTAATACTAAATTAAGAACAAGTTTAATAATTATTAGCTACTTCCATGGGCTTGTCTTACAGAGCAAATTTTTCAAAGGAATGCTTATGATTAGAAATTGACCCTCTGAGTTCATTTTCTATATTTAGCTGATATCTATATTTTGTATTCTAAGAAACCACCGCATTTTGTAATATGTTCCAATTTAAAAATCAGAGAAAGGAAAAATAACCTAGTAATTATCCTATTACTTAACTTTTTTTGCTTAAAAGTAACATATACAAAATTTAATTTTTATGTCATGAATTTGTACGGTTTTGTAATAAATATTGTTGCTTTATCGTAAAAGTGCATTATTATTGCATTTAGTAAATTATTATGTATAAGGGCGCGATAAAAATTGTGATTGAAAAGGGGGGCGTCAGTATTGAAAGTTTGAGAAGCACTGCCCTAACCACTACGCTAAACACGGCCCTGGGTGAATTATTTTTTCTCTCATCGCTATTAAAAAATCCCAAAGTAAGTAAAATATGTGTTTATGGTAATATATAAGATATTAGTTTATTCCACATCACAATTGCAAATCAGCTTAAAGGTAGATATTTCTAAATAATAAGTTTTATAAGGGATTCACAGTTTTAGTAATAATGGAGTTTTTGTAAGGACTTTCAAATCAAGAAAGGTATACACAAAAATAAGGTTTTATTTCCTTCTAGTACTATAAAATCAAACACAATTATAGACATACACAATCAAAATATTCGATAAATCTTTTATTGTACAAATTGAAGTGTTTATATCATTATATTGTTACACTAATTTTACATTTTGAAGTTTAAACACGCTTTATTTCGATGAATCAATATTATAAAGGCATTTTACGAATTTTCCCTCCTCGAATATTTTTAACTTAATTTTTTTTCCAAGAATATATGTATGGTATTTTTTTTTTTTTTTTCATGGAATATATTCAATAAAAATAAAAAGTGATAGTGCAATGGAAAAAAATATTCTGCCATATACAAAAGAGGTTAGCATTACATATAAAATGTTAGGATATTTTTCTGTTAAAAATAAATGAGAGAATGAATATTAATAGTTATCATTTTGTTATTTTCAATGATATGAGGGGTGGAGATTATAAGGAAATGCATTAATAAAATTTATTTTATTTACATTCGGGATTTTATTTATAATTATGAAAGGAAACATATAAAAATCTTTCAAAATAAAATAAACAATATCTGACGTTTAATAGTTTAAAAATCTTCATAAAAATATATAATCCCTACTCTTACACATAATTTAAAATATAAAACAGAAATTTTTCCAGAACATATCGTTTATCGAATACGAAGTTAACGTTAACTAAGATAATATAATATTAAAAACTTGGAAAAAATAAAATTTTATTAAAAAGTAACATTTTACGCTGACAGCTTGAAAATATCAAAGTAAAAGTAAACAATATTATAAAAAGAAAAGTAACCAAATACTATTTACATGATGTAGAAATTTAGGTACATGGCCTCAAGTGTGAAAAATTCTTATCTATAAATTTTTAATTTTTACCAC